TAATGAAAAATTCTCGCGTTTTGTCTACAAGTTTAATCCAATCATTTATTCAAGGTCTATAAGCTAGTTATAAACCTCGGACGAACAAAGAAAACCGACGCAAGTGTGATATAAATATATATATATATACACAGGATGTATAAAAAAACGAGACCTCTATTAGAAATTAATCTATTGATGTTATAAAAGCACAATATATTTTGCTCCTAGCTGGTAATTAAAAATTCAATTGTGTTTTCGCACTCGATTTGTGTTCAGCGTAGTGCTTATTATAGCATTCAAATTATAACAGCAAGATTAATTTCTAAAGGTCTCGATTTTTTCGTACACCCTGTACAATAGAATGGTTTTAAATTAGGGAAACGGTTACAACGTTAATTAATAATAAAAGTCAAAAGGGCAAATGAACACGCTGCATGTAGACATTACTAAATTTAGTATTATAATTTGAATAAATCCACGCTTGTTTTCCTGCGTGTTTTCCATACATGCTTGTATTTGTATTGTTCAACTATACAATGTAAACCACAATACACATCCACTTGTCATGCAGGTCGCATATCGAACGACACAACATGAATAACATCACGTGTTTAAATTCTGTAAATTTGATTGGTGATTTTCTACAACTGTTGTGTGTTTGATACATGAGTACATGACCTGATGACCATTGGTGGCTCATCTTTCCCCTCACACTTGGCTGTAGACTCGCGTTCAAGCGTTATTAGAAGTCATTTTTACACGGTAAGTTATGTTTATATGATATTTCTGCACTTGTCTTCTGAGTTAAATATAGAGCAAAAGTTTCCGCGAACAGTCCGCCTGAGTAGCCACAGTATGTCGAGCATCACAAATCGTTTGTGAGAAATCGTTTGCTCACAAACGGACTACTGCGTCGGTTGCAAACGGAACATGCTGGATGCGGTGTGTGTTCACTGTTCGTTAACGTAAGCGCGATCTTGTGTATGTTTTTCATGATTCTCAACCAGCAACAGATACTACCGTACATATAACGAGTAAGCTCTAGCGCATTGCAAGTACTTGATTCCGCTCTTTCAGTATGAACATGTCTCCATGGCTGCATATAGCGGGCATGATGCAGGAATTGCATACAAACGGTCAAGACTCTACATTTTAATACGATTCAGCCAATTGATGAAGGGTAAAACACGTCTCTACTTGCGTTAAGGAGTTACTAAGATGATCCATCAGAACGAGCTATACGTTCATATGTATACATATATTAATACTTTCAAAAAATGTCTTTGTATGTCGTTTAGGTGGTTTAGATAAGGAATATCAAGATGTCAAACATTCCGCAAGCCTCGAAAAGGCGATGGAGAGCAAAATTCCTTGCCTTGCAAAAGGCAACAGGTAAAAATCTCCAATCTTGGCCTGACAAGAAGTCTCAGCTACGACAGTCTAGTAAACCTATAGCAAGTAGTGACCAAAAGAAAGCTGAGATCTCAGCACAACACACTCAAGTCAAGCAAGAGACTAAACTTGCAGCAAAGCGTGCATTAGACTGGGAACCTATCTTTCCTATCGAGGAAGAATTGCCAAAGTACAGAAGAGTGGTGGTGAAAGGAGGAGAAGCAGCAAATGTAAGATATATTTTTGCTCGTTTGCTTTTTGTTTGTATTATGCCACGAAGTATTATGTTACAATGCTCATTTGCATAAAAGCAACACTCGCTGCAACAGCCGCCGGCCGCCATTTTTGGGGTTGATTCAACTCCTTGAAATTTACTGTCAGTGTTCTGCTGTACATCACAGCAAGAAACATGCATGAAATTGCATTTACTCACGATTTGTTGCGTGAAATTGTTTTGGAAGCAAAAGTAAAAATTAAAGCGATTCCTCAGTGAGAAAAAATATTAAAAATAAAAGCATATTCGATATAATTGCTCTTGCTTTTTACCGGCATTATCTACAAAGACAAAGTGTTATGTTACAATGCTAATTTGCATACTGCCGGTTCTCCTGTTTCTCACTGTACTATATAAATAACACATTTTCGCGAAATTATGCGAATAACAACATAGTAATATGTAGTATAGGGTGTTCGGCGTCGAAATAAAATTACATTAGGAAATTTACAGCTCGAACAGGCAAACCGAGGCCTCTTGTATATTTTTTATGTTTTCAAATTAAGCCGAAGCAATCACCAGCGTGTTATTTTGACTTACGTCGCCACGACGCGGCCAGCTCAACGACGCAGTCTGAATTTCAGCTCAAGAATGAGCGCTATGTTATTTTGACTTACGTCGCCACGACGCGGCCATCTCAACGACGCGGTCTGAATTTCAGCTCAAGAATGAGCGCTAAGCAATTTGATTACTGTAGTAAATATTTGAAGCTTTTTTAAATAACATTACAAACTGCTAAGTTCGGCTAAAGCGATGCAATGTGATTGTTTGCTGTAATTTCGACTTTGTAACTGTTTAAGTAACACCTCTTGGGTCGTTTTAAACTCTCGCGTTGCTTGAAAGACGTGATATAAATGCTTAGTTTAATTAACGTCATGTTGAGAATTACAAAGCCGTTGAGAATACCCCTGGGACCACGAATTATTCACAGTTTTTGTCTTGCATGACAAATTTCTTTGTTTTGAAAGCGCGTCGTTCCGCGTCGTAGATCGTAAACTCTTTAATTACAACTGGAAGACGAAAGTCAAATTAAATATTGTAACCTGCAGGCTTTGTTTACAAAGCGTATACTGATAAAGCCGTGGTCAAACGATGAGAGTCAACAGTTGGCAGTCGCGAATTGCTAAAGGGGACATGCATTTCAAACTATAGATTAACAAAATATGAGTGTTTCAAATGGAATACATGATAGTATTGGGGAAGCATTGACTGCCAACTCTCATGCACTCTCATCCTCGTTTGATCCG